TTACAGTCAGTCCTGGCAGGTAAGTCTGCGAGACTCTTCTCCAATGAATCACCGGAAAACTGGAAGTGGTGCTGTGGCTCAAAGTGGTAAAGTGCTAGCCTTGAGCAAAAAGAACTAGGGGGGGCGGGGGAGTTGAGAATAGGTGACAATGAGGCCCTCTGTGCCCCAGGTTCTGGTGACAAATCATTTAAGACCACTGTAGCTCTATGAGACTAGGACTACACATACCCCATTTTCATGGTGAGAAAACTGAGGCTCAGGTACACACACTCAGCATGGGGAATCCTAGACTAATGCCCGGGCTGAGCCTGCTGGCGGCCCGAACTCCACCTGGTGGGCCGGAGGTGAGGCTCAAGGTCAAAGGAATGTACAATGTGCCGCCCACACAGGACACAGAGCTTGGGGTGCCTGGGGCAGGAGGACACTCAGGACTCTGATAGGCCATTCCGCCTTCCACTTTGGGGAGGACATAGTCCCAGGTTCCTGAATTAGGGAAAACAACAACAGCAATACATTGACAGCAATGCCCAGAGCTACCACGCTGGACTTCCTCACTCACCACCCAGCGTCCTGCCTGCGTCTGAGTGAGCCATCGGCCCATCTCCTCCTCCACCAAATCTAACACCGCTGCTTTCACTCCGTTTGAAAAGCGCTGCGCACAGACGGTGGTCTCCACGGGAAGAGCTGTATCCAGAGCCACCACACTTTTGAACAGTGGCAATATATATCTATAGTTGGTTGTTGAGCTTGAACTCAAGGGCTGGGCTCTGTCCCTGAACCTCTTTGTGCTTAAGGCTAGCGTTCTACCACTTGAGCCACAGTGCCACTTCCGGTTTTTGAGTGGTTCATTGGAGATAAGAGTCTCATGGGGACTTTTCTGTCCTGGCTGGCTTCAAACTGTGATCTTCAGATCTCAGCCTCCTAAGTAGCTAGGATTACAGGTGTGAGCCACTGGTGCCTGGCTTAGAAATTCCTTTTTTTAAAAATTCATCTGGATACACACACAAACACCAAATTATACTCTCACACATTTCCACATCTGTGTGTACATATTTGTGCTTGCACAGCATTTGTTACACCACCCCTCACACACGTAAATCCATACTGAAAATGTCTCAACAGTCAATGATATCCAGGCTTAATGCTTGCAGTGTACTGTGGAATGTCCTAGAAGGCTGGCAAGCCTAGGGACTTAATCTGTCTGTTTTTCGTATCTATGAGCTCAGACAGTGGAGCAAGTGACAGATCCTAAAGCCCACACTGCCTCAAGTTTGCCAAGCTTGCCAAGCCCACTCGGGTCCTGTCCCATCCCATCCATCCTATTCCATTCTGCTCTCCTCCACTCCATTCCATTAAAAAAAAAAACAACCCTGGCTGCAAATTACCCATGAATGTCCACATGCTGATGTGTTGCAACCTTAGTCTGAATTACTGTGAAGGTCAGGTCTTTACAGTAGATGGACTTCAGGGAAATGTGGGCCTCTGCAGCAGCCTCCTTGGAGCACCTCCCCTGTCTGCCCTGGAGCACCTCCCCCGGTCCTCCCCAGAGCATCTCCACTGTCCTCAGAGCAGCTCCTCTTCCTCACCAGACCACCTCCCCTGTCATCCCTGGAGCACCTCCTTCACTCTCTCTGGTCCTCCTTTTCTCCACTCCTCCCTGGAGCACCTCCATTGTCTTCCTGGAGCACCTCCCCCATCCTCCCCCACCCACTTCCCTGTGTTCCCCCTCCTCTTCCTGTCCTCACCAAGCCACCTCACCAGATGCTGTGGCCCTCTGGCCGAGCACATGGGATGCACTTCATATTTGACTCACCTAACTGGCCTTCAGGGCAGTTGCAGCGACAGTGGTTTTAGTTTCAAGATAAGGAGACTGAGGCTCAAGGGGACAAGCAAGGGGCAAGGGTGACACTCTACCCCCCAGAGGATGCCTGCTGCCTGGTTCAGGCCCAGCTCTCTCTGCCCGGGACAGGACTGATTAGGTCCTTATGTTATCCCTGCTGTGTACCTTCCCCATGGCACTGTAGACTTCCCAGCTGCCCAGAGAGGTGGGCACACTGGGCCCCTTGCACAGTTTAAAAAAAAGGGTGGGTTGGCTTCGTGTGTGGCCTGGAGGATCACATAGCTTGGACAGCAGAAGGCCAGGATGAGGACCAGGGCTCCCTGCTTTTGCCACGTGTAACCTGAGTGTTGGAAGGGTCTAAAGTGAGTGTGGGCTCCTCCCCAGAAAACAGTGCCTGGTGAGGAAAGCTAGCCACAGGCTGGCAGCGACGCTCCTGGTCTGTGTGGGGGCACACTGCAGCGCCCCTGCCTCTGTCCACTGCCCCACTGCCAGACACCCCAGAACACTTCAAGAGAAATGTCCCCAGCTGGCTCTTTTTACTCATTTGTACTTAATTAATCAAAATGTTTTGTAAGAGACTTTCGAGATCCAAGAACCTTTCCCAAGCCTTTTCTTTCATTTTTTTTCTTGTCTTAGAAACAAAAAAAAAAAATTGGATTTCATTAAAAAAAAAAAAATCAGTGACGCCAGAACCCGAAGAAGCCTGGCTCTGCGGAAGCCAGGCTCCGAAGGCAGTGGTAGACCAGGACTCTATGGGATCCCACAGCAATTTCTTCTGATCCTGGAGGGATGCTCTGGGGTGGCGGCCCCTCCAGGGCAGGCCTGCTTGGCTCAGCTTGGCATCCCAGGACTCCCAAAACTTGGAGAATGAATAAGGGAAGGAAGGAAGGGAGGAAAGAAGGGAAGGAAGGAAAGGAGGGAAGGAAGGATGGAAGGGAGGGAGGGAGAGTGGGAGGGAGGGGGGATTGCTAATACCAGGTGGGTTCCCCTGCCTAAGTTATAGGAGAAGGTCAAAGCTGGTAGAACCCATGGGAACTGGGTATAGGATTTCCCAAGTGGATGCTTTATGAAGAATGGTCCTATGTGACCATCCAATGCTCTGATAAGTCCTGTTGTCAAGAACTCGGCAAAACCAATATTTCCTTAAACCATTTGCCAGGAAACTATAGCTGCCTTACGAAACTGCTGGAAGGAAGGGCTTGCCTAGCCTCTGCCCCACCTCAGTGCTAATGGAGAAACCAAGGCTGGGGCTGGGGCAGAGGATAGATCTCACAGCATGAAGGGTGAGGAGCTCCTGCTGAGTCCCAAGGCTGACACCATTGTATCCGAGTAAGAAAAGCAGTCACAGGCTATCTGAAGATGCTGGGCAGGGGTGTGTGTCAGAGGTTGTGTCAGCGTGTATGTCAGAGGTGTGAGTTTGCTACTGGGTAGGGTGTCAAAAGCCCAGGAGGCCTCAACAGACGAGGCTAGTGTAGGGGTTCCCCTTCCTGAATGAATTAACTCCTGGAGAGGTAGCGATAACCTGGGAAGCAAGGTAATTTCCTTCCTTCCTTCCCTCCCTCCCTCCCTCCTTCCTTCCTTCCTTCCTTCCTTCCTTCCCTCCTTCCTCTTCTTTTAGTCTTTCTAGGACTAAGAAGCATCTTAAAGATCTAACTTCTCTGCAGATGGGGAAAGGGAAGCCCTGAACAGGGAAGACCCACTTCACAGGAGACATCTTGGCATCACGATGAAGGGACCGGTATTGGAGGAAGCAGCTACCACTTGGAGTGCAGCCTTGGACAAGCCAGTTCCCCGCTCAGAACCTCAGTTTCTTCATCCACCATCTCAGTACTGCCCCCCCCCCCTCCAACTAGGCTCACATAAGTAACTAAGTACATAAGTAACCCAGTGGAGTAGAAAGAAGGTGGTTAGGCTCTGGTCACTTAACACAGACACTCACTTAGTCCAATGGCCTGTCTTCCCAGGAATTGCATACAAGCACTTACGATACTTAAGTTCTCCCACTTTAAAGATCAATCAGGCTAGAGAAAGGATTTGTTTTGAGCTGAGAAGGATGGTCCAGACCTTCTGAAGGTACCTTCGACTCTCCACGATTTCTCAGCTGGTAACTCTGAGTCCGGGGATTCAAACCCAGGAGTGGTCAGCTCCACAGCGGGTCCTCTGAACCGCTGCTCAAAGGCAGTTCAGAAGCCCTTGGAGCTCCTCAGTGTTCCCAGCTCACCCAAGACCCCACGCCTCTCCCTTCCCTTAGTGTCAGAACCCCTGCCACCCTGTCCCACCCCACCTCCCAGCTCTCCCAAGCCCAGGTGTCCACGCAGGACTCTCGGTACAAATGGACCCGAAGGCTGCCTCCCTCTCCCCACTCCCCAGACACAGCCTGCCAGAAAATGGAAAATCACCACTCTCCCATCCACCTGGGCTACCTGGCCAGCCCCTGCTTAGTAGAGAGGGGTGACCCATCTGGCACCCGGATGGGCGGGCTTCTTTGAGAGCATATGGAAAACCCTTTGGCCAAGTGGCCAGTATTTGTCTATGGATACATAGCCTGGCACCAGGCTCGAGCGAGAGCCCTTGCGCTCTGCCGGGTCCTCTGGTCTGCAGGGGCTGTGGCGCGTGTCACCGTGCAGGGGACAGGCTCCCATCTACCTCCTGAGTGGCCTGGCCTGAGCCCCGCAGTCACCACGGTGGCTTTAGGGCTCTGCAGAGGGAGGGCAGGTGGCCCCGGGTACATTCATTGGAGTCTCAACCTTGGTTCATCTTTCCTCTGGCTCTAGGAGGTAAAATGGGAAAGTTGAAGGCAGCTGGAGGGGGGCCAAACTTCTTCCAGGTCATCTTAGAAGGAGCGAACTTGAATCAGAGTCTCAGGTCCGGCTGAGCTCACCAGCAGAGGGTCCGCCCTGGCCCGCTGCCCGGGGCTCGGGATGTCCCCTTCCAGGCTCAGCCTGGACGCCACTAACTCTGTTCCGAGTCCCGGCTCCCCCCCCCACCCCCCGCCGTTGGCTGTCGAGGCTTCTAGAAGTGCCTGCACAGAGCCATTCTTGGGGTCCGGGGGTGTCAGTGAGGCAGCCAGGCGCCGGGGGCGCCTTCCCTCCATGGGGAGCCTCAGTCTCCCCATCTGTACGGCGGGGCTGCCAGCGCGCGCGCCCCGCCGCGCCCCTACCTTGCTTCTTCCTTCGGTTCAGGGTGAGCATGGCCACGGCGTGGGCCACGAGCAGCAGCAGGCACAGCGGCGCCCGCATCTGGACAGCCTGGTGCCGGCCGCCCCCGCGGGGCTCCCCGGGCGGCCCGACGGCCCGGCGAGGGGCGCGAGGTGGGGGCGCTCGGGACGCACCCGGCGCATCCGCGGGGCGCGGGGGGGACCCGGCGGCGCAGGTCGAGTGAAGGCGTCGGGCGAGCGCGCGCGGGGCCCGGGGCCGGGCGGCGGGGAGGAGCCAGCGGCCGCGGGGCGGTGCTAGCCCGCGGGGGCGGGGCGGGGCGGGGCGGGGGTCGCCGGCCCGGTCGGGTCGGGGTCCGGCCGGCCGTCTGGCGTTGTCCCCAGGCGCCGCCCGCCGCAGGCCCCGCGCGCGGACACCTCCCCCCCCCCACTCGGGACCCTCCCTTCAGCCCCCCCCTCACTTCTGTATGTCCGTCCTTCTGCCTCGCTCCCCAATCTGGCCTCTTGGACCCCACCCGTCGGGCGGGCCCTGGTCCTCCACCCTTGCCTCCATCCTCCATCCACCTGGCTGGCCCGCCCCAGCCTCCTCCTGCCCGATGGCAGCTGGGGAGGGGAGGGCACACTGCCTGGCACCCCCTCTTTATCCGCCCTGCTCTTTTCTCTTTCTTCCTAGAGGGTCCCGAGCCCCCTTCCAGCCACGGACTCTGTAAGTTTCCTGCCGCAGCCGGGGAGTGGGGGAGTGGGGGGCGCCCCTTTGATCCAAAGCTTCCAGCACCTCATAAATTGGCTGGTGACAGCGCTGGGGTCCTGGTCTGTATTTCCTTATCACCGGGACTGGGAACAGCTGGTGGGCTTTTAACTCTTTCCCCGCCAATGGCTGCTTCTCCTCCCCTCCCCCTCTGCTTCCTACCTGCTCAAAGCAGTCACAGGGAGGCTGCCGGTCACCTCGGGGGCACTGTGCACGGAAGGCGGTCCTCAGCATCACCCAGCAAGGGTCTATTTTGATTAACTGCACTGTTCGGAAGAGAAGGAAGGTGAATGCTAATATGGCCTCCGTTTCATCTCCCAGGGCAACCAGGGGTGCTTTGGGCAAGTCTCAGGCCCGGAGGGAGGGGTATAGAGTGCACCAGTTGAAGACACAGCCCTGACCAGCGCCATTCTTGCTGTGGGGTTCCACCCACGCAAGCAAACAACTCCCCCCACTTCATATCAGAGCTGACCCTCCAAGCTGCTCCATTTCATAGATGGAATCGCTGAGGCCTCTCCACTGGCAGTGCCCAAGTTAGGCATCCTGTGTGGGAGTCCAGGGCAGAGCTGCGATGGGTTGTGGTCTCCACCAAGCCCCCTCGACCTGACATCTGAGCCCCAAGTCCCTACCTCCCCTTTCACCCCCCATATCTCCCACCCCATACAGCATCCCTAAGCTCCTTAGGCTTCTCAGGCCCCTGGCCTTTCCTACTGTGGCTCCTTGGAGTGTCTGTCCAAATCCCCTCCCCCTCGCCACTGACTGGCTCAGGCCCCAGCCTTTGGTGTGTCCCACCTCCAGGAAGTCCACCTCAGGTCTCAGGACCAGCGTCTCCTTCACACATCTGCAGCCAGCCCCTCATCACAGCTGGCTCTCACCACCCGGGGTGGTGAAGGAAGTGTCTGGCCCTCCCTCTAGCAGGAGTGGGAACGGCTGGCACATGGGTACGTAGGAGGCCCTGAAAGCCATTTGGTATACCATGGGCAGACACTGATGCTTCTCATCAGCTGCCTGTGGCCCATCTGTCTGTCTTGATAATTTCATACAGCCTGAGAATGTTATGATAGATATCCAAATGGCCCTGGGCAGAAGAAAACAGTTCCTCACTCCTTTAGCTACCATAGCTCTCTTAGGCAAGAACCAAAGTCCTCTTCTCTGGCTGAGGAGCGCTGGGTTTTGCTATGTGCCTCATCACTAAATCTTTGTGGAATGAGGAAGGGATGGTGCGTGGTGGAGTGAATAATTGCTCCTCATCCACTGATTTGTTGTAGGACCTTGAGGACTTCCCTCCTGGGCTCAGGGTGGCTTTTGTTCACAAGCATGGATAGATTTGGGGGGACCGTGGGAGCCTTTCCCACAGGGATTCGCTCCGCGGGACTTGAGCTCTCCGCAGCTGTAGGGGGCTGTCTGGCATCCCTCTCTCCTCCAGTGCAGGCATCCAGGAAGACATTGAGGGTGGTGATGTTGATGGTGGAGCCAGGGGCCCCAGGGGTGTCAGGAGACCACTGGGGTAAATAGATGGAGACAGATTGACTGTGTGGTATTGCAGGCTTGTATAGAATGAACCCTTATTTTACTTAATGATGGCCCCCAAAGTGCAGGGGCAGTGATGCTGGCCAATAGGTTTCCTTTGAGCAAAAGGGTAAAAATAAAAGTCCAGTGAGATGTTTTGAGAGAGGATGAGAGACCACATTCATCTAACTTCCATTACAATGTATGGCTACAATTGCTCTATTTTGCTAGTTATTGTTCATCCATGCCTAGTTTATAAACAAATGAAATGTTATAGATATATATCATAGGAAAAACACAGTATATGTAGAGTTCAATATCTACTGGAGTCTTAGGAAAGCCTCTTCCAATGGTGGGGGTGGGAGGGAGAGACTCCCACCATAGTTTAGGATGTGGAAGCAGTGTGGCTTAAAGAGCTAGAGATTGCTCACCTACATCCTATTGGTAGAACATCTGCAAAGGTCGCTGGGAAATGTAATCTAGCTCTGGGCTATGCAACACACTGGAGAAGCAAGGTGAACATCTGTCCATAAGCCATGTCGAGCCACTCTCCTTGATTGCCCCAGTACTGTGGTAACTTCTGCCTGTGTCTGCTCCTGCAAGCTCTTCTTCCTAAGCAGCCCCCAAACCTGAGTTTTCCATCAGCCAAAGCCCAAAAACCTCAGAATGATGTGATGACCTTTAATTTCCTTTTCCTGCCTTATTGAACTGGTGAGCATTTCTGTCACTGTGTCGAGGAGGGTGGTGAAAGGCCAGACCTCGATCCTAGTGAGAAAACATCCACACTCCTGCTTTTCCTTTTTCCTTTCTTTCTTTCTTCTTTCTTTCCTTCCTTCCTTCTTTCCTCCCCTTCCTTGCTTCCTTCCTTGCTTCCTTGCTTCCTTGCTTCCTTCCTTCCTTCCTTCCTCCCTGCCTCCCTCCCTCCTTCCCTCCTTCCCTCTCTCCATCCCTCCCTCTCTCTCTTTCTTTCTCTCTTTTCTTTCCATCCCTCCCTCCCTTCTTCCCTCCCTCCCTTCTTTCTTTCTCTTTCCTTCCTTCCTTCCTTCCTTCCTTCCTTCCTTCCTTCCTTCCTTCCTTCCTTCTTTCTTTCTTTCTTTCTTTTTCTTTCTTTCTGCTTGAACTCAAGGCCTGGGCACTGTCCTTGAGCTTTTTTGATAGCATTTGAGCCACAGTGCCACTGCTAGTATATTGGTGAGTTAGTTGGAGATGAAAGAGTCTCATGGACTTCCCTGCCCAGGCTGGCTTCAAACTGTGATCCTCAGGTCTCAACATCTTGAGTAGCTAGGATTACAGACACGAGCCACTGCTGCACAGCTTATTTGTAGACTTTCTCCCTCTCTCTTTCTTTCTTTCCTTCCTTCCTTCTTTCTTTTCATTTTTTTTTTTTTTTTTTTTTGCCTGTCCTGAGGCTTGAAATCAGAGCCTGGGCACTGTTCCTGAGCTTCTTTTGCTCAAAGCTAGTACTCTACCACTTGAGCCACAGCGCCACTTCTGGCCTTTTCTATTTATGTGGTACTGAAGAATTGAACCCAGGGCTTTATGTATACTAGACAAGCACTCTACCACTAAGCCACATTCCCAGCCCTACTTGTGGATTTTCTATGGCTGCTCCTTATTAAGAGATAAAGGAGGAAATTTCCCTCTATAATTATTTTTGGAGTGTTTTTTAAAAATTAAGAATGGATTTTGAATTTTGTTCATTTTCCCCTATATACTAGTATAATACTATAGTCAGTTATTTTTCCTTCTTTTATCTGTGTGTATGTGTGTGTGTACTAGGGTTTGAACTCAGGGGCTAGAAACTTCCCCTTAACTTTTTATCCAAGGCTGGTGCTCTACCACTTAAACCACAGCTCTACTTTTTGCTTTTTTCTGGTTAGCTGGAGATAAGAGTCTCATGGACTTTCCTGCTCCAGGCTGGCTTCAAATTGCCATCCTTAGATTTCAGCTTCCTGATTAGCTTGAATACAGCTATGACCCACCAGCCCTGAGCCTGACAAGGATTTTTAAAAAGACATCATAAAATGCTTTTGCATATGAAAGCAATGATATTGCAGAAAATTGTAGCAAAGAAATAGAAGTAATATGGAGAACCCAATAGAAATCACAGAACTAGGGGCTGGGAAGGTGGCTCAGTAGTAGAGCGCTTGCCTTGCATGCATGAAGCCCTGGGTTGGATTCCTCAGTACCACATACACAGAAATAAGCCAAACATGGTGCTGTGGCTCAAGTGGTAGAATGCTAGGCTTGAGCAAAAGAAGCTCAGGGACAGTGTCCAAGCCCTGTTCAAGCCCTATGGCTGGCAAAAAAAGAAGAATCTCACAGGCTTTTCTGCCTGGGCTGGCTTTGAACCATGATCCTCAGATCTCTGCCTCTTGAGTAGCTAGGATTACAGGTATGGCCACCAGTGCTGGGCTTCCAGGGTATGTTTTTACTAATGACCTTTGCTCTCTGTGCCTACATGTAGCATAGCATGTAGAAGACAGAAGCATTGAGTAACCCTCCATACCTCATGCTGCGCCCTACAGCCAAAACTCCGCAGCCCCTCTTCACGCCCCACTCCCTCTTGCTTTTCCAGGGGAGGAAGGCAGCATCCTTGTGGCTATGGGACCCTCGGGCTCACAAAGGAGCTGCTTCAAGCCACCGCCACCCCTTCTGAGGCAACTCCAGCGGAACCACAGCCTCCGTGGGGGCTTAGGTGGCTTTTGTTTTAATACCAGTGTGAAATAAATTGAAAAATTACCCAGAAAATACAGGTTGTTTTTTTTTTTTCCCACAGCGGGCCTGAAATTTCTTTCCATAAACAAACAAGTTGAAAGAGATACCTT